AATTCTAATAGGGAGGTATTTGTAATTTTTTAACCTATTGGGGGCAATTCTCATTTTAAGCAAACCTCAATGAATGTATTTGTAATTTATCCTTTTATTAATCTAACTCAAAATTTTGACTCTTTTTTTTTCTTTTCTTTTTTTATCAGTAAAGATAAGTTTTTATTGATATAGAGTGATGTTTTGAGAAGATGGTAAAAAGATGACTTTTTGAGCTTTTTTTTTACTATTTTATATGAGAGGTGGTGTGACTCAAAATTGGTAAAAAGCTGACTTTTAGCTTTTTTGATCCCTTCCCAAAATACCCCAGAATCAAGGATAAACCTTGGATCGAGCATCAATAAATGAAAGACAGAAGAAAAAGAATCGTACTATAAGCATCATAGCAAAAAACTTTAATCCCAACTAGGTTACACGGCAGCCTCGTTTGGGAACATCATTTTTTAGCCTAAAAATCAAAAAGTCATTAAAAAAGCCAAAAAGCTAACAAACTATACAAAAAAAGTCCAAGATTCTATTTTCTCTCTACTTTTTGCACATCTTTTCGTAAATAATCAAAAAGTCATTCCAAACATACTAATTTTTTTTTTATCTCATATTCTAACTAAAAAATTTAAAAAGTTATTAAATAGCCAGTTGCCAAAGGAGGCCATCCAACAGAAATGGTTAAACAGTAACCAACCAAAACAACCAAATCACAGATCCCCAACATACTCAAAACATGTGATACAAATGAAAAAAGCCCAACCAGATGCAAGGCACTAACCACCCTTAATGGAACCAAATCATTGACAGTGAAGTTGAAGTTCAGAACTTTATATTTTGCCCAAAGAGCCAGCCTCACTTTAATTAGCCCCTGCAAATCCTCCCTAGAAACAGTAGAGCCTCGGAACTTGCATTCATTCCTTGCCTTCCACAATGACCACATTATGGCACATGGAAATGTATGCCAAAGCTTGTCTTCCACCCTTTTGAACTTGAATCCTTTCCAGCAGCTCCTCAATGGAACTTGGAATAACCCATTGCACTCCCCCCCCACCATGATAGAAAATTAGCCCAGAGTTTCCACACAAACTGACAATGAAGCATTACATGTAACACAGTTTCTTCATGAGCCTCACAGAATAAACAAAGAGAACTGGCATTAGCATCAAGAGCACCAACACTTCGTAAGAAAGATGTCTTCAGTCGACCTCCCCAAACCAACCAACCAAGGTGACAATCTATTAAAATATTTAATGCAACTCTCTTCCTCTCTCTTTCATATATTATCTATTATCTAATTATTAATCAATCGTCTCTTTTCCATATCACTGGGTATAAAAAATAGACTTTTATATCATTTTTATCCATAATCCCAAGATTTTTATGGGCCATAACCAAAAAAAAAATCACCTTGGTTTGTACGCAAAAGCTAACCATACTTTGATTTGATAGATCCCACCACCAACATCACTTTATGACATAACTTGCATATAATACATGTCCTTATAACAAATTAAGATTTTAAAGACAAAAATTTAGGGACCAAATCATTTTTTAGGTACAAAATAATTTAGTAACCAAAAGTGTCATTGTTGTATTTGTAGCAATAAAATTTGATATTTGATGATGAATTACTATCATTTTGGAATCAAATTTTTATCTAAAAAAATAAACATTTTAGGTAACCAAACTAGTTTGTCCCCAAAAGTGAATTTATTATTGAAATTTTCAAAATTTTGTCAATAAAGTCATTTTTAAATTTTTTTAAGACAATATTTTAGCGATTATTCTCATGATGACAGGAATTAGACTCATTTTTTTTTTTTTGAAATAAAATTCTCATTTTACGAGATATAAATTTTTTTAAAACTCTTATATGTTACGGTGGACCTTTTATACTTGGCTTTTTAGGAAATATTATGGAAAAGCTAACAATTGATTTAAAGATGTCTTGAATATGATTAGATATTAAGTGCAACACTGATACCACGAGATATTGGTCATATTGCATTATTTTTATTTATCTATTTTTCTCATCCATCTTTGTAGCATAGAAGATAGAACCATGCCATGCATAAGGACCTGTATGTTTGGCCCAGTGAATGGCCTTGAAGGCATGAGAAAAGGATGGGAAAAATGGGACTTGAGGATTCTAGTTCTATACATCCTTTTTACTCAGTTATAGCTTCATGTTTTTGGGCGTCATCGTAGAAAGGGTACGACACAGCTGATGATCAACGTGAATGTCTGGTTTTTCTACTTGTTCTCTGATTTACTGGCACAAATTGCACTTGGAAACCTATCCAAGGTCAAAGGTGACGACGATGATATCAGTCCAATTAGTCTATTGAGGGGTTTATGGGCACCAATAATCTTGTTTTATCTTGGAGGTCCAGATACCATGACCGTCTTACGCTTGGAAGAAAATCAAATGTGGTCGAGGCACGCTATAGGACTATTGACACAAGGTCTAAGAACAAGTTGCGTCCTGGTTCTAACTTGGACTTCTACCATGAGGTTCTCTCTTTTGGCCTTGTTGATGCTCTTTCCTGCACTTATCAAGTATGGAGAGAGAGTGTGGGTAATCAAGTCAATATCCGAGAAAAAGTATATGGGTTTTGTTCAAATTGATGAAAACACAATTGACAAAAGAATTTCGTGAATTGATGAATAAAGATGATGCTGCTCACAATACTTTTAAGTTGATTGAGATTGAGTTGGGGTTGATGTGTGACATGCTCTTCAATAAGATAGGCATAATTTTTACAGTATGAGGAAGCATTCTCAGACTCATTTCCATCTCTTGCATTGTCACTGTGTTGGTGGGCTTTTTCTTAGTTAAAAAAGCCTGATGGGCATTTAAAAGGTGATCTTCCGATAACCATAATTTTGCTAGTCGGAGCCATTTGTTTAGAAATAGGTGGAGCTCTTGTGCAACTAGGTTCAAATTGGGCAATTGTTTGGGCATGTAAGCATTACCCCAGTAAGTTAGTCACTCCGATTTTTAATCTTCACGAATTTGTGATCTCTAAAAACAAAAGATGGTCTGAGGTTATGGGACAATTTAGCTTGCGAAACTTTTGCAACAAATATGAACGGACAAAGTTCGATGACATGGTGGTGGGTCTATGTGGCATCGAAAAAAGATGGAAGAAATTCAGCCTACCATCACATAGAGTCGACCATAGTATCAAAGAACTTATCGTCTGTCAGCTTGGTAAGATATCACAGAATGATTTGGAAGTTGAAACTCCACAGGCTTATACCATTAAAAGAGGTGAGTGGACCCCTAGCAAAAGTATTGCCGTTTGGCACATTGCTACAGACATTTGCCTTGAAAAACATGGAGTGGAACCAGAAAGTTCAAAGTCATTCACAAAGAAAGTGAAAACAACCAAAATATTGTCATATTACATTATGCATCTTCTGCTTTTTTGTCCTACTTTACCTTTCTGTAACAACAGTGAAAATTTTAAGCAAGCTTATCCTGATGTGGATAAATTTTTTAAAGAAGCAGAGTCTAATGGAAAAGAACTTGCCGGTAGTTTAATGGAGAAGGATGACAAATGGGAGATCATGAGTAATTTATGGGTAGAGATGTTGTGCTATGCTGCGAGCTGCTGCTCGGTGAATCACCATGTTCAAGAGCTTAGGCATGGTGGACAGTTTCCACTCATGTCTGGCTTCTACTTAAGCACTTGGGTGCAACAAAAATGTTGGAGAAAAATGCATCTCAATAATTGAATGACAAACAAGACATAGAGTCAGAATTAAAGGATATAGGACGTTGCTTCTGATACTTTTCAAGCCTTGAATAAGTGTCAAATTTCTGGGAGATTAGCTCATGCAAGTTTGAGTTAAACCATTTAGAAATTCTAGTTTCTTGTGTTTTGCAGATGTTGTTGTTTGATGTACTTTTGTTGTGTCCCCCAAAGCTTCTAGTGTTTGGCTTTGAGTTTTTTCTTGCTTTTAATCTCTGTGGTTTTGTTATGGTGTTAGTTTGCTTTAGTTGTAATGGCAAGGCTTCGCTTGGATTGTAGTTCTTTTTTGTACTGTTTCATATAATGAATTGATGGTTGCTTGATCCATGTAATAATTTTAAGGTTTCGTATGAGAGTTTGAATTACTTGATGCATGTAACAATTTTGCAAACTTGTAATATATAATTCAATGGTTGCTTTTTAAGTTTATTTTCTTTTAGTAGCTACCAAATGGTGGAAATTTTCACACGTGTAAAAAATATATACTTAATATATAAAAGGGTATTTGAGTGATAATAAGATATGATATTAGGTTAGATAATTGATCATTATAGACATATGATTAATGAAATTATTTGGTGAGAGAACAATTATTGTTTTGAAGGATTATTTATTTATTCATTTCTACCCCACTACCACTATATCATTGTCGGACCACTTACTTTAAAAAATTTCCCAAAAAGTGGCAAGTAGTGGCTAATGCCAGCAACTTCGTGGTGGTGATATGAATAGATAGACAAATTAAGTTGACAGATAGGTACATAAGGGCAAATAGGGAGATGATACGTGAATAGATAGATGATACTTAGAAAGATAGATGGACAGTGGATAAATTGACTGATAGGTAAAGGTAATATAATATTTTTAATTTTTATCTTTTTAAAATTATAACTCCCGTCCTCTAGTAAATTACCAACATGTGTTAATATTTGGGCTTAATTCCCATTAAATCATATTAATTCATCGCTAAAAGTCAGTCTTATCATAATGGTCGCTAAAAAAAGACTTTTGTGATGATTTTTGAATTTGTCGTTAAAAATTGACAATTAGTAACATTTTTCTGTGAAAATTTTTTAAACTATCGCTAAAATTTAGAATTAGTGAATTTTTTTGACGAATTTTTTAAATTGTAATAACAACAAAGGTTTTACAACCATACCAACTTATAAAATTTACTGTCATAAATGAGAATCCTAAAAAACCTAGGAAACCACAAGTTAAAAGATGCACCACTTACGTTGTTTTTCCATATGCTTTTCCTATTTCACTTGAGACAGTATCAGTCAATTTAGTACAGAAACTGCAGATAGCTTGTGATTTAATTCCATTTAACCTAATTAACACAAGCCTGTTAGAAACTACATAGTCACATCATCCCATTCAAACCACCAGTAGAGAGGCTGTTTGTCTTTGAGCAGCAGCTTCTTCATCATCATAGGCACCTGAATTACCAACACCAAAATAAAATAAGAGCCACTAAGTGACCATATTCCTAGAAATAATTACGAAAAAAAAAGGAACTATATTAATTGGAACATACCAAGATAGACTGCATCATTTCATTAGGATTCCACAAAACCAGCACCACCCTATGCATGAATCCTAAGTATACAGAAATGCCTAATGCCAACACATGCAAAATGCAACTATAGCAGGCTCGCTATTCTAAGATGCATATGAAATGCTACAACTATCTGTATTCAATTTTGAAATTGAAAGTACAATGCAGTTAGTATGTGTGCCGAGCCGGTGCATGCAAAACAGATGAATGATGCAAACATGCTATCATAATGTATGCTAATTGAAATATGCCCTAATCTAACCATCAGTAGCGGATAAATAAAAGGGAGAAAGACGTGGGGTTGGAAGACATACAACACACACACACACACACACTTATTACAGTTGTGCCCTCGCCAGAGGGTCGAATAATATACAGTCCAAAAAAGAATAAATAAATATTACAGTCCAAATAATATACAAATTCCTAATTATTTACAAATTAACTAAGAAACACTGTTAAAACTGGCGTGCAAGCCAGGGACTGCCTTGTCCTGATGAATGATGCATGTCTGGGCTGCCTTGCCGGGAAACCACCGGATGCCCCAATTAGCCTCTGTTGCAGCATTATTCTGTGGAAAGCGCGCAAGTCCCGAAAAGGTTGATTCTTCATTTTCTGCCAACAGAGAGCAGGAAAGGGGCATGGCAATGTATTTTCACAGATATATGCATGCCTCGATCCTCGTGCCACCAATCACGATATCGATGCAGATGCAGAGGAGTCGAATGTGCAACTTCAATATGGGATGAATGCACATGAAAACACAACAAGAACTAACTCCATCATGATGATCGCGAGTGTCGTGGCTAGGGAATTGAGACACTTCCGTCACTCGGAGTACAGAACATACCTCGTTCCCGAGCCGGGCTAACTCCTATCCCGAACACGATCAATATGCATGATATGCATGAATGCAACTAAGATACAGGCCTAGCATGCACAATGCTATGAAAATAGATGCTCGAAATCGTGGACACGTCACCAAAACGAGAATGACTGAAGCATCTAAGATACAACTAGTATCACTAGCTGTAAAATGAAGCTCGAAATGCGTGCACACGGCACGCAACCGAGAAAAGACATACGCAATGCAATACAGGAAAATATGATATGGCGCTTACACTAACATGAGAGAGCCTCAGCCATAACTCACTAAAGAGGCCATAGATGAAAATGAAGTGCCTCGAAATGCGTGCACACGGGCACGCAACGAGACAATGGTATAGCAATGCAATGGCATAAAATAGCATAGAATGAAATGGACTTAACAACATGAGAGAGCCTCAGCCACACTCACATAAGAGGCGATAGATGAAAATGAGTGCCTCGAAATACGTGCACACGGGCACGCAAATACCGAGCAATGGTATATGCAATGCAATGCATAGAAATGGCATATAGAATGCAAATGGACTTATACTAACATGAGAAAGCCTCAGCCACACTCACATAAGAGGCGATGGATAAAATGAAGTGCCTCAAACGCGTGCACACGGGCACGCCAAATCGAGGCAATGGCATACGCAAATGCAATAGCATGGAAATGATATGCAAACATGCTAATGGGATTTCAGCACTTGAAAAAGTGGGGAATGACAGCCCCGAAATGAGGCGAAACACACCCCAATGCGGCGGAATAGTTCCGAAACACGAATTTTGGCACCCGAATGGCCTATAGCTATACCCAAACTGCATAATATGGACATGAATGTGAAAGACAGAAGCAAGGAAAGCCCCAAAATTAGCATTTTACAGT